TACATTAACTTCTCTTGAACATGAATGTGGTGTTCGAAGATCAAATTGCCTGAAAATAAACGACGCGGTCATTAATTTGTCGCCAATTTATCATTTAGTCCATTCATTATTGAAGTGTTACTGAAGTCAATTGCTGGTAAGGAATGAGATTTAAGATCCTCCTAGATACAGAAGTTACGTAATTTGACTCACATAATTGTTCCGTCCTCGGCAGCACTCCAGAACATGTATGGAACATTCGGGGCGGTCGCAAGGCGCTTAACTCGGCCCGTGTGGCAATTACACACGTGTGTCGTTTCGCCAAGACCGACATCGTGGACTCTGATTCGGCAGTCTCCGGCGCCAGTCACCAGAACTCCGTCAGCAGATTTTGGTAAAAACTGTGTCAAAAAGAAAAGCCAAGTACATCTATTAAACCGTCGACAGATACAAATATTACACAAAATGAAAGCCATTCCTGTATTTCTTTGAAATATTATAAATTAAAAGAAAATATGTTATCCTCACCTTCACTGAAAATATATTCCCATGATGTCCAGTGGGTATAGTGTGTATTTTTCTATACAAAAAAGGATCCCAGAGAATGACCTGCACATCATCTGAAGCAGAAGCAAGAGTCCTAAAACAAACAACAAAAAACAAAAAGTTTTTAAACCTAAGATTTCTAGTCGTACTAGCAAAAATGACAAAACATTTTCCTCCATTTCTGACATATCCTCATATTTCTCCAATAAATCTAAATTACGTGTCTTCATAAGTATCCGTCAATGTTGCCCATCCTGAACCAGAAAAATCCAATCCAACCACTACATAAAATTTCCCAAAGATTAATTTTAATATTATACTCTCACCTATACCTAGGTCTTCTGAGGTGTCTGTTCCCTCTACGCTTACCAAATAAATTTTCATATGCATCTCTCATTTTCCCCATATATGCTACATGCCTCGATCATCTCCTTTGACATGATCGTAACAATAATATTTGGTGAACAGCATAAATTACGAAGATCTTCATTATGGAATTTCCTTCAGCCTTCTGTCACATCATCCCTCTTAAATCAAAGAATCATTTACTATACATTTATCCCCTCTACTGCCTACTCGATGGTTGTTATCAACATTTATTTAAAATTAAGATTACAGCCTACATCACTGTTCCAAACTAATACAAATCCCACAAAAGACATGGAGAGAATACGCGAGACTTAACACACAAAAGCTAGCCATGGTTACCTTCCTGATTCGTTCCATTCTAGGCAGTTGACACAACCACCATGACCTTCAAGTTCAGCCTCCAAACCCAGCCTTTGGACAAAATCTTCTGTTACATGCAACTTCTGCTGGAGTTTGTGGTTTATAGTATCCTGATAAAAAGAATATTATATCAATCACAGTACGTAATTACTAACACCGTTATCCAATTAAGATCATAAAACCTACCTTGACTTCTCGCTGCCTCGTGAGTCGCACAATATTGCGACCATTTATTGTATGCTTCCTATTCATCGCTTGTTGGTTAAATACTCATCACTCACAGAAGCGAACTCCATTTTTCTCACTCCCCTGCATATTATTCACAAAATCAACCATATGTTCACAACCTGCAACTGCCCGTTCCTCAAATTATAATTCGATACAAAGTTTCATCTGTATTATTGAAACTTATTACAAACATCAACAACCTAGCCACGAAACATGAACATATAAACGACAGTTACTGTGCACACAGATCAAAGCATGATATAGCCATAACGCCTTATTTTAAAAAAATATATAACTTAAATTTTGACAGTCATTCTCTTAACATTACACACAATCGGAATGATTCTCAGGGCGACAAACAAATCAGTTGTTATTACAAATAATCATACTGACTGAAATCAGCTGATATACTTCTATAGGAATGAACATTGATTATCTTATCAGTAGATGGTAGCTTGATCGCCTGCGACTGAACTTACAGATAAATCAGAAAAAATATGCAACTCTGCCAATCCCTTTACGTCATCCGTGGTATCATTGATATAATTACTGACTTGTAACAATCTAATGCCCCTACAAAAACACAAATATATAAATAGCTGCAACAACGAATGATGTCAGTCCATTAATATTGGATTTGTGTTTCGTCCACACGATCTGAACTAACGTTTTGTTTGACTGTCTACATCCTTGGCTTATATTGTTGCTATATCTGATTCCAATCTTGTCTGCTATTTAAGCTATGGTTATGAATATTTGATGTATACTTTCAGAACAGGGCTACCACAAGTCTATGAAACAACGTGTAATTATATATAAGGTGCAAATGCACCGTAAGTAATCCGTGGTGCCATCTGTGTTTGGTACTCAACAAACTAATGAAGTGCAAGATCGAATGACGCCACCTATCGATATTTAGCCAAACAAATCAATAATTACCAGCAGTCCGCAGTTTCCATTCTGATGTTTATTCGAATGACATTTATTGTACTATTATTGTATTATACTATACTATTGTACATGCCCACACGGTGCCTTTTTATCCGGCATTAACCAAACGATAGTTGTCATGGAGACGTTGCGTTTTCTTTGCGGTACGGACCGAATTTTAGTCTACTATTTGGAAGATCATCAGGTTCATACGAAATGCAAATAAAATAATAGTTGGCTTTGGTTTCCTCTTTTGTTATAATTAATAAAGTTCATAAAGACGTCATAATCTTCGTTAAAAAATAAAAATGAAAGAAAGACGCGGCTAACAAAAAACCATTTCAGCAAAGTTGTCCTGTTTAGCCAAAGAACGATGCACTCCAGAATCTGATAATTTCAAATAAATTAATTACAACAAACAATTTATCAGCATTAATTTAAAAAAGGAGAGTATTGGTTACACTTTCACTACGGCATGTTGCAATATTATTTCTTCTGTATATTGACTAAAATTAATGACAACTTCTCTTGGTTTTGCAGAACATCACTCTTTTGCCAATTTCAAAGATCGCCTATTAGTATCAATATGCCCGCCCGCAATATAGTTCCCAAACATTGAAATAGAAGGTAGGATTTGAGGCAATCATGGCGGTGAATCCGAAGAGGGCTCACCGCCCTGAAGATGGAGACAGCAAGGACCTCCGAAACGTTGTCCAAAATTCCGAAATCACTTTGGACACACATGATGTCTATTTTAATTTTAAAATATCTGCAAAATTAAGAAGCGTGAATAAAACATACCTCTTCAATAAGGTTAAACGCTTTAAGATTTTTGGATGGAAAATTAATTAATTAGGTTTCCTGCAGCAAATTAGCAGCAATTCTCGAAGGAGAAGAATTGGCGAGCAGGGGTCAACTAATAGGCGTTTTATGTTTTGTAACTAAAAAAGATTTAAAATCTCCGCATGAGGGACCTAACCATAGACATTTAACAAAACGGTTTAACCAAAACTGAGGGTTCTACAATCAGTGCAACAACGACCTCAAATTCGGGCGTGCACCGTTCTTTGTTTCACCCGCTCGCCACGTTGAGGCACAGGACTTGAGCGGGACCTGAAACAAACAAAACAAAAACAAAGTTCTGTAAGCACAGCAACAAACACAGATTGGACACAATTACAAAGATGAAAGCTTAGACCTTACCTATGTTGCTGTTGCACAGATGTGAACTTGAATTCAAAATTATTTATCGATGTTCCTGTTTAATGATCGCGATAGCCGTATAATTGAGAGTTAATTTCAGTTGTCCTTATTAACAAGAACAACTCCATAAACTTTAGAATAATCACAATTATAGGCCATCTGGCGCGACGAAAGAAAACACGAACCAAATAACGAAGTCGAAATCGCCATTTCCATCTTCTTCGCAAAAATAAATAAATAAAAAAATTGACGACGCTCCGCTCATTTCCAAAATAAAACGTCGGTCAATCAAAGACGCTCTTTTCACTTACCTTGAGGCTTCTGTAAAAAAATCATAATCGTTGCTAAAAAAACCACAGCTTCGCGCTTAATGACAACAATCCAAATTTAATAAATTAGTTCCTTCAAATATAAATGTAATATTACGTCAACAAAGTTTATTTTTGTAATATCCGAAGTCCGACGGCAGTTCGGCGAGAAATGCAAAATGTAAATGTCGGTGCACAAGACCCGATTACTCGCTCGCGAAATTCATTTCTTCGGGAAACAACAATCGACGTATTTCTCCAATAATCGAACTGAATCCACAGCACATTATAGTACACTTTATAAATGAATCCTAATACACTTATAGATTCAGACAATCTTTCAACAATGAAGTGAAAGTCTGATAAAACCAACAATGGATGTTGTGTTTTATTGAATCCTTGTCCTTACAATGCGAGTTATTCACGGAAAGAGGTTACGAAAGTTCTTTTTTCACTTTGTCTCTTTCCTCCTCGCACTGATTTCATTGGTCGTGCCGACTGAACCTGCCAAGTTGTGCACCCTGTGATTAAAAAAAACAGAAACACTTAAAATTAACCCTCCTAACTGAACGTCCATTGCCATGGACACAAAAGCTAAGTTCACGCGACCTAACATGGGCGCCTATCGGGGAGGGCGGGAGGACACCTTAAAAACTATAAAAAAAAGTATAAAGTGCACAGGGTAGCCAACTTGGCCTTAACCTAACATGCCCTCAGTCGTGGCGGGCGCCGCGTCAAATACAAGTTGCCTGGCACGGACCGACGTGGTTATCGTTGGCAACCTGTGGCCTGGCTGACCTGATAAGACCGTGCCGATGCTATGGCGTACAAGATCTGCCGCGAGCGCCCAGCCCATCCTCCTTCGGATGGGTCCTCAACCACTAGGGGTTCGGCCGACACTGGTTTTTTTCTCTTAACTTTACATTTTGCGCGTAGCTCCTCTTGCCATGGTCCCTGGTTCGATGCCTGCCTCGGACGGAGGCTGGTGTTTCCATTGGAAATCCAAGGAAATGGCACAACACTGTCTCACAAACACTCAAGGTCGTTTCAACCAAGCGCACGATGAATATCACAGCACAACACTTTATAAGAACCTATATTCACTCTGGTAAGCACACGATTAAAACCACGCGAACTACGCACTGCCAACCTGCCTGCCACAGGGGACCTGTTAATTATGTGATTACAAGATTCCAAAATTCTGTCATGTCTGATAATTGCTGATTTAAGTGCGTGTAATTAATTAGATGTTTTTAATAACTGAGCATCACGTCTTAAAAATTATGCGATGAGTTAACATTTTCAGATTAAGATTAATTCTTGGAGGCTTAATAATTTTTATTTTTGGCTTTTACTATTTCAGTTAAGGAATCCTCCGAATTAGGCTGAATAAGACGAGACAATAAAATGATGACCCATTGGCCTACATATTTAATTTTTCAAAGGTGTTACTTTTTTTCCAAATAGGCTATATAAGGCGCCATGCTGATTCATAAGCAATTTTGTATGACTGTAACAGGGACTTTTAGTGAGTGAAATACGAACTGCAAATATTTGAAAACAAAATTATGAAAGAATGGTTTGGGTGGGCCTGAACGTGATTTCACTTCTAATTAAAATTTACGCAGCTCCCAAGATCGAATTGTAGGCCTATGCGTTTTTCTGACCTTAGAATAGAAAACTCCTAACTTGGGCACATTAGTGCAAACACCGAACCTCAGCACACTAGTGCTCACATCTAACTCCAGCACTTTAGTGTTCATCTATTTTCAGCACACTAGTGCTCACATCTAACTCCAGCACATTAGTGCTCATCTATTTTCAGCACACTAGTGCTCACATCCTAACTTGGGCACTTTAGTGCTCAGATGTGACTTCAGCACACTAGTGCTCACAACTAACTCCAGCACTTTAGTGCTCATCTATTTTCAGCACACTAGTGCTCACATCTA